TTTTCCTGTTTTCTTTCAACTCTGAGCAGAAATTACAGTGTCTTCAAAACAATTAAATTGCTTCTTTTCTAGAAAATATTCTTGACTGATGGGTAATTTTGTTGTATTTTTTTCCTGTTTGAATATGAAAATGGAAGTATTTCAGGTTCCCACATGGATTTTCATGGTCATGTGTTGAGCGTTTAATTTTGTTAATTATTTTAGGAATACATATTTATTTGTGTGTTCATACTTGTGTGTGTGTGTAAAATTCCATTTTTCTGAAATATTTTTTTAAAAGGCCTTTATAGTAAGTGGCTGTGCTGTGGTATTTTAGGACCTATGTTATGATAAGAGTTCCATAACAATATACTGACAGTATAGTTTAATTGAATCACTCCCCTGCAGTTTTTCCTGTGTCCTTAAATGGTTTAAAGATACTCTTTTTTCAAAGACTTGAAAAAGGATTGCTCTGAATGTAGTGTCTTAATTTATATGCTTCAGGCTTTTGACAGTTTGCTTTTGGTACGTGGACTAGGAAAGTGATGCCTGCCAAATGTACACCAGAGGGCAGGATTGGGTAGAAAAATCTATATATAAAGCTTCTGGAGCTCATAATGTTGATATAAAATGATAGTTTACATAACATCAGCTGTGGAATATGCTGTTACATTCAAGATTTTTTATAGCCTCTTTATTGTTTTTATGCATAAAGCTTAAATTTCTGTGATGCTTCATAATGCTTTAATGCAATGTTGCTCGAACAAGATGTGGTTGTTGCAAGCCACCTCAGAAAAACCTAATCACCTAACAGTGACTAATTTATACCTTCAGCAGTTTCTCCTGTTTAAAGCTCTAAGTGTGTTGGTGGATTTAGTGTGCTTATAATGGCTAATTTAATCTCTTTGAAGGGAGAAAGAAAGATGAATATGGACTGGGATTATTTTCAGGATGGGGGTGGAACAGGATATTTTATTCAGTGCAATGTTATAGTATTGGATTCAGGAGGTTTTTCAGCAGTTTGTAATCAGCAAGTAAATTGTATAATAATGTGTTTATCCTTTTTTAGATCTATTTAGAAATTAGCATTACTACCTGGTTTTATTTGTTGTATACTGACCTTGTTGCTTTGTTTTCTCTTCACAGTTCCATCACCAGGACAGCTTCAGCACCGAGTTCACAGTGTGGGACATTTTCCAGTGTCTGTCAGACAGCCTCTCAAAGCTACTGCCTATGTAAGCCCAACTGTACAAGGGAGTAGTAATAGTAGCAGTATTCCAGTGTCCAGCAACTCGCAGCTGTATTCCAACACTGGGATCCCAATGCCAAACAAGACTGCTGGACAAGGCATTGTAGGGCGCAGTGCTCTTCCAAGACCATCGCTGGCCGTCAATGGGAGTGGCATTCCCAGAAGTAAAATTGCACAGCCAGTTCGAAGGTGAGAGTTAAACTGGCCTCAGTCTCTGTGTGAATAGCTTAGGCTTAAATTGTGGAATGTTTTTACCTCCTGAATGTGGATCTATAAAACATATGCTTCTGTCTCCTGGTGCCGACTCACTGAATTGGTGAAGATTGCTTGCCAGAATTAGTGATAGACAATGCATGCTGGTAGCCCCTAGGAAACTCTGATAATGGATAGTGTGTAAACACGTGTAAATAGGAATGGATTGCCACCTGTCAGTAAGAAGTCCAAACAAACACAAACCTCATATCATTAACTGATGTGGCTTACCTTTTCCCAGACTTGTGCCTACTGCTATTTCAGTGTCACAGCATGAGCCAATCTTTGAGTGTTCACATAGAAAGAGCTGCATCCCTGTTGTTTTAAATGGCAATAGTCTGTAAAAATGCAAGTTGTACCATTGCAGCGTGAAGAAGGAAATACCCTGGACTGTGCAGTCTTGGACTGAACCAGCATCTTTTCAATTCCAGCTGGGAGACAACAGGCACACGAGGAGTCCTGGAATATCACACAGTTGCAATAAGCTGTACTGTTAAGCAAATGCAAATTTTTGCATGCAAAAAAAAAAGAGAAAGAGAAATTAATCTTCAAATTAATTATTTTTAGGTCAAGCAATATAATAGGCTTGATGGAAGAGATTTTGTTTTAATCACCTTATCTTAGCTGGGAGTTAAACTCTTAGCTCCATGTTCTGTAATTAATAGGAATTAAGTCTTTTCAAGGAAAAACTTCTCTCAACTTGTCTTAACTCCTTCAAGTATTTCTTCTCATTGCACACATCCCTCCTCTTGTGAGGGCCTGCTGTGTGGCCACCTCATTTTCTGTTGGATGAACTGTCACTGTTTAGCTCTCATCATTTTTGTGCTTTTCACTACATACTGGCTAGATCCAGAATAAGTTCAATTGTTCACATTCTCTCTTTGGTTGAGTTACTTGGGGATTACACTGATGTGACTGACAACAGATTTTGACCAACTGTGGTGAAACTTTGATAAAGAGCCGTCAGGTTCCTTCTTTGATGAAGACTGTACCATGAGATTTCTATTATAACCTTCTTTGCTCTCAGCTGGAAACTCTTTCAGTTAGACTTCTTTATAGTTGAGGGTTTTCTTTCCTTTTTTCTTTTTACTTCCCTCTGCTGCATGTTCTTCTGGAGAGCTCTTAAATCTTTCATAGCAACATGTGAGGAAGCCTTTCTGGGTCATGAAGACCAGTCCCTTGCTATTTTGTAACATCTCATACAACAGACAATATTAAAGAAAAACAAAATTAAGAGGCTTCAGTGGGAGAGTGAGACACTGTACTCTCAATGCTGTTTTTATTAGAAGCTGATTCAAATCAGTAACAAAGCTATTTATAGTCCAGGAAGTCTGGGCTCCTGTCTCCATTCCTTCAAATGTGCCTTAGTTGCATCCCGTGTTGCCATAGAGCCGAAGCAGTGACTGTTGAAGATGGATGGTCTTTGCACTGTGGGAATGCAGAGTTCATAGGACTCAAAATGCATAGGTAGACTGGAGCTCAACCTGCAGTTCTTTAACACCCTCGTTCAATTTTATTGATTCATTTGGAAAAATACAAGCGGTTTCAGTTCATGCAGACTTTTCCTGGAAGGAATTCAGTTGTCAGTTTTTTTAACTGTGGTATTTTCTAATGAATGGTATTTCTGATTATCAGTTTAAGAGTCTAGCTTCTTTCAAACTTAAATAGTGTTGCTAGTCATGACTTGATTAGAAATAAAAAAGGTCTTTCGTTTTTTTAAATAAATGAGATGTTCAGGGAGAAATGCACATTCAAATCTGTCTTCCTACCTTTGGCCAGACTGTTAAGTAGCCAAGTTGCTGGTATTTCAGATACTTACAGTGGGTTCTTAGACACATTATATTTGGGTTGCATTAGGGAACTTTAGTATTTGCTGCATAGAATAAAACACTGGATGAGGGAGTAATAATTTGTAATATAAAATAATTTGTAATATAAAATTGTAATAGCTGAGATAAATAACTTGGCTAAATATTAACTGATTTTCTCCTTACTATTAGAGATTCAAGCAGTTTAAAGAAATTGTGATGGTGTAATCCATCTCTTCTTAGCCTTAGAAGTCAGCACCTTTTTCTTTTTCATTCCTGTTGAGCAAAAAGGATCCACACAACCCTCAGCCCTTTCCAACTCCAATCTCAGGGCTTCTTGCAGACCCCACCTTTCGGTTCTCTGTGTTTTAGCTTTATGCAGTGTGAAGGGCAGTGGGGGCAGCTGCCCTTAGGGCAGGGTGAGCAGGGGGCTGAGTGGGACAGGTGGGCTGCCCTGCAGTGTCCAGCCTAGAGCAGTGTTTGTGGTGATCAGGGTCAGCCAACACTCCCAGTCTCCAGACAAGGCCATGGTGATGAGACAGGTTCCAGCTAAAGCCAGAGCAACTCAGGGTCTGGATCATGCTAGACACCAGGCACAAGTGGCAAGAATGTAAGCATACCTGTGGAGCCAGAGCTTGCTTATTCCTGCTGCCAGTTGCTACTATCCAGCTGGTGATGGAAAAGTAGAAATGCATTACGGCCCCTCCACAATTCTTGTCTCAAACAGCGTGATGTCATACTGACAGCTTGTGCTTGTTTGAACTGGTTTTCATTGCTGGCATGTTCTTCTGTCAGTGCCCTGTAGCAGAGATACACCTCTGGATACACAGCAGTATTCCTGCAATTATTTTCAAGTTAGCTAATTATTCTTTTTTTCTTTTTTTTTCCCCCCTCTCTGTTTGTTGTTTTTTTTTTTTTGAAGATTATTAAACATACTTTCTTCCTTTTTCTCTGGAAACGAAAGCAGCAGTTGCAGAAAACAGCAAAGGCAGATTATGTTCTTAGTCTCAAGTAACTGGATTTATATCAAAGATAAATGGTGCTACACTGAAATGGAGCTACACAAAAGCAGCTTGGCTGAATCTGACTTCTGCCAACTGTTTTTACTTAAGTGCAGTGTTTTTGCTACTAAAAAAGCAGTTGTAGCAGAGAGCTGAAGCTGCTCTGATGACTGGCTTACCAACTGCCTGCTCTACAAGATACCAACTGCCTTTTTACAGCAAGCAGCATTTGGAAAGAAGAGGAGGCATTAATATCTTATAACAAAAGCAGAGTAGTTTGAAAACAAGGCTTGAGGTCTGCTTTTATATGAAATAGTTTCACAAAATTGAAACACGTTTTTTTCAGCAAATTGGGGTGTGACAGAATTACAGTTGTGGCAAATTAGATACAGAGCCTACTGTGTTACCAGTGAGTTGGCAGTTAGGTCAAGTCAGATTGTCAGGTTGTTTTTTCTTTTTTTTGTTTTACTTGAAATAGTTGCCTCACTAATAACCTGGAGGGTTTGGAAGATGGTCAGGAAGTGTTTTAGATGTCTTCATTGATGAGTGAGAGATGCAGCCCAGGTGTGAGGGTGGGAACCCAGGGGATGGTGAGTTCCTGTCAGGAGTTGCAGTGCTGGAATTTGTGGCTCTGGAAACACACCGTCACATGTCCTCAATAAAAGAGGGTCTGGAGGAGAACTCGATCAGCTGATAAAATTCTTCGCTGCTTGCACAGTATTTGTATAAACTGCTGGTTTTTCATGAGTATGCTAGGCACAATAGCTTTTTGGAAAGTGTCCCATTAGAGCTCTGCTGCCCATAGTGACAAAAATGTGTTTTTACTGTCTTTAGCTCTGAAAACCCAAATCTTGTTATTTAGAGGCATCTCATTCATGATTACAATTATTCACTCAATTCCTTTTTACAAATCTTTCATGCTCTTCTCATTGGAAATGGCCTTAATTTCACCATAGATCTTTATATGTGCACTAATATGTAGCCAGAAATACACCAGAGGGATGTCTCTAAGCAAGCCCCAAAGCCATTGTCACTGCAGAAGTAAATGACGTCTTTTACCTTGATCTTTCACAGGAAATATGACCTCATTTTCTTTCTTTTTTTTCCCCTGTCATTTGGTTAATACAGTTTTCTTCAGCCTCCAAAGCCACTGTCGTCGCTGAGCACGATACGGGATGGGAACTGGAGAGACGGCTGCTATTGATGAAGGATGCCCCTCAACAGTGGAAAACACATAATGTGGATTTCATTACCCAGCTGGCTGGGTAACAGTGATTTGGAAAAGGAGGGTCATACAGTATTATTTTCCCCAGGATCTTAATCTGTAACTATCTACAATGCCATGTCATTTTTAAAAAATGAACATCTTATCAAATACTAAATATTGCACTTAATCAGTTACCTGAACAGCTGCATTGTTAGCAGACTAACAATGGCAGTGTTGGCATTTGGAGCTGAAGAAAGTATTATATGTGTGCAAAATACAAGAATATTTCCTTGGCACAAACTAGGAGATTTTGCTTTTGGGCAGCTTTGCCGTACTGAAGTTCTGAGATAATTTATTCAGTGTAAAGTCATCACGCATTTTATTTTCAATTTTGGGGTACTTATGTATGTGCTTGAATTTTTTTCTAGTGCTTTCAGTATATTTTATTTTGTATACTTAAGTTCGTTTAAACTTGCCTGGACCTTGAACTACAGAGAGATAATTTAACTTTTTCTGTGCCATAAATAATATTTTTGGGGTAATGTACTTTTTTAGCGCTAGGAACATATCTTAAAAATCTGACCATTGGCAATACAAAGCAGTATATTTATGTTGCAGAAGCACAAAAGAAAAAAGGTAGCATTCACTGGAAATTGCTATCCAGCTGGGTCAGCATGGTTTTGTTGGTCTACCACCATTTGTTGAATTGTTAATTTATTGTCATAGTGTTTTGTATTTAAAATGGCAGCATAAATCACATTGCACTTACAAAGGTACAGTGATCTCTAAAACTACTGTTGATTTTCAGTACTTTATTACAAAGAATAAAATTGTAATGTTTTATTAACAGTTGCTTATGGAAAACGAGTTTTAATGTGAATAAATCTTTTGATAGATCTTTTACAAAATCCAATTGCACTAATCAATGCTTTCTTACGATGGCATATGATTTAATATTTGATTACAACTGTGTATACTGCTGTTTTGGAATGTTTCAGGAAATAAAGAATCTATTTCAGCAATAATGCTCTTCTTCAGTGTGCCATGTAAACATTGTGAAAATTCAGCTACTCATATCTGCTAAGCTCCTGAAGTTTTTACTTAGCTTTTATAAAGATTATGCTGGATTTTTTTTCAAATAGTAACTGAGTTACCTGAAAAATTATTTTTTTTAATTGTGTTAGGAAGCCATGGTATGCCTAGAAGACAAATATGTATTAATTTTTAAATCAATCTTACTATGATCTTAAGAGACTTTTTCAATTTAATTAAGACGCCATTTCAGTTTAATGTTAAGAGTGTGAAAGTGCAAATACATCTTGCAGTGGGAAACAGAGATTGTGTACCTTTCACTGTGGCTATGAATTTGCTCTCAGTTCTGCTCTGCAGTTGCTTAAGGACCTGCTTTTCTGAAAAGGGCAAGCTAAAATAAAAAGCAGAGGAGAGGTATTTAATGGTGACTGAAACTGCACTGAGAAGTGATGTATACTAGTGCAGTAGGATCTCTGCATAGCAGTTTAACAGAAATAAGCAGTTAATTTTTCACACTGAAGTTACTTTAATACAGTTAAAATCCTTTTTTTTTTTTTTCTTTTCCGAAAGAACAGAACTGTTGAAAAAGGTATCAAGAATAATAAAAAAAAGACATAATCTCTGCAAAGGTAAGTATTTAAGCAGGAATGTGCCAAACTCACATGGTTTGTTAGAAGCTTTAACTGGAAGAAATTACTTTTATTTAAAGCAGTCAGTCATTTGTGGACAATCTGTGATTGTGGTAGGGTTCAGAGGCAGCTTGGGGGTGCTTTGCCTTTTGCCTGTGAGAAATTCTGCAGCTCTCATGGCTTCTGGTCCTAGGGATCCAGCATGATCATCTTCATTAAAAGATGGATGAAGGCCCATGGCAGTAATTAGTTTCTCATTGATGACAGCCCTGGTCTGAATTGTGCCTTCAATTTGTTCCCTAGTGCCAGGATTTTACCATTGTTCCTACGTTATCTGGGACACCACAGCACCACATTATTTTCTATTTTTGAAATAGGCTGCATCTGTTGGATTTAATACCGAGTTGTACACAGGAGGGCAGTATATACTTAGAAAATACTTTCTTTTTGGTAGTTCGTCTGTTTTCCAGGCTCTGGATATTATGAGCTTTTTGAGAAGATCCAGTGTTTCCCTTTTTAATTACCCTGTTCCCTTGTAATGATTCATGTCAGGATTTGGTAACCTTACAGCTTTTCTGTTCTAAACATTTTTGTCAAGTATCTGTCACATGGGATGCCGTCAAGCTGTAGGAGGAAACCCAAGGTGTGAGCAGCTGGATTGAAGAACCAACAGGATCACACTCATTTCAGCCATGGGCTGTGGTACTGCTGCTGTTTGCCTGGAGCTGCTGGAGCTGTCTGTCTCTCCTCAAATTTACATCAGTGAACCTGGGTACTACTGCACAGTGTCACAGACTTCACAAGTCTCAGTGGGAGCAAGCTGGGTGGATATGCAGCACAAAGTCACTTCTGTCAGGCTCAGTTTTGTAAGAGGCAGAATCTCCTCCAGGGCAATGGAAAACAGTTACCTTTAAAAATAAAGACTCAAACTTACTTTTTGCAAGGAAAAATTAATTTCTAAGTGTAAGGGAGCTTTTGAGGAATCTCTTCTTTTTGGTTCTTTTGGTCCATGAATGCAAATCCTACCCTGCCTCCTTGTTGCTGCATCCCAAAAATGATACATCTCCTTCAGTCCAAACTGTAATCTTGAGCTCACCTCTTGAGCTGCTGAGTGAGTCATGACCTTTTACTCAAAGGTCTTTTCCCCTCTCTAGTCGCTGGGGATAAAATCTCTATGTTTCCAGTCTTTGAGCCCCATAATTTGGGGCACTGTCTTTGATTTTTCCACAAGTTAATATTCTGGTTAAGTCTAAGTCCTGCATTGAAGATACATATTTGTTTTTTTCATCCCTACAAATGAACTTCATCCATTACCTCCTCACCTGAAGTAATCTTCAACCTTGTAGTGGCTTCAGTATGTATAATCTGTCCAAAGTAAAACTGCTAAGATAGTTTTTCTCTCTTTCTGCTTTGACAGTGTTGCTGCTTTGACCACTTCATGTGTATTGCTGATGTTCCCCTCTCTGTTGAAAAGAATTGTTGTGATCTACTTGTACTCTTCTACAATGTCTTGGACACTATCCCATCCCCACTATTAGTTTCTCATTGAGTGTTTAATTGAATTCCCATGTCAAAGACCATGATGCCAGACTGCATTGTGTGTGCTGCAAGAGCACCTGCTAGCTCCTTCTGTGTTGTCTCTCCCTCACTGTAGAGGATCACTCGGCATCTCCATTTTTTAATTCACTGTCAAGTCCTTCTTAAAAGATTTTTTTTCTTTGCCATGGTACCGCTCAAATCAGGACAACAGTTAAATTACCAGTGTTGTCATCTTCTGCTTTTAAGCCCATCAATTTAAATTTGACTGGTGATTATTGCTATACCTAAACTGCAAATTGTTAGAGACACAGACTGCTGTCTTTTTCCTTTGGGTTTTTAAGGTGTGAAGCCCAGTAGGATTTCAGACCCACCATTACAATGCCTGTATACTAATACGCATACTAAAAATCGTTATTTTCATACAGAAAACACTATTTAAATATCTACTGATAATGGGTGAGGTTTCATAATTAAAAAGATTTGGGGTAGTAGCACAATCACTCTTGAAAGCATATTTGTGGTGTTTAATCTTCAGGCATCATTTACTAATTCAGAAATTCTGATTAAAAAAGGAAGTGACTAATCCTGGGTGACATTCCCTGTCACTGTTGAGGTGAAAAGGGTATGTTCTGCTTAGTGTGATTTAATTTTCTTTTTCCTATTTGACCAGCCTAACTGCTCAGCCATCTTTCCCCCTCATCAATATTTCTACCTCTTGCACTCCCCAGATTCAAACCTTTCTTGTAATCTCTCTCAGTGATTACACATGCTTTTGTGGCTCTTCTGGCTTGTGTAGCTGTTGCAGTTCTTGGCCATCCACCTGTAGATTCCCACCCTGTTATTCTGCTCCTCACTCTCCAGCGTGTGGAGCAAGTCCTCAATGTATCTTCTGTCTCCATCAGTGAGACTATCAGCTCTACCTGCCAAGGTAAGCGCTTACACTTAATCTGAATTAATGTCTTGAGTAGGGGTCCTACTTCTGCACTTGGATGTAACCAGGCTACCTGGTTGTTGCAAGGGGAATTGAGGGGATTATTTTGACCTAAAGAGGCCCAAGAGATGATGTTTCTACATGTGCAGTTCAACAATACGTTCATATAAAAGTATCTCATGGGAGGGAGTGATTAGGTAAGCTTATTCTTGAAACCTCATTCCTCTTTTAAATGAGCCATTTCATGCAAACCATAATTTTTTTACGTGACTTAAGCATTATGAATCCCTTACCCATAATCAAACAATCAAGAATCCTTTGGTGCCCAAATGTTGATTTTGGCATAATAGTGGAATGGTTTCTGTTGGAAGGGAGCTTAAAGATAATCTAGTTCCAACAGCCTCCACCAGTCAGGGACACCTTCCACTAGGCCAGCTATCTCCGAGCCCTGTCCAATCTGGCCTTGAGCATTTCCAGGGATGGGGCATCCACAACATCTCTGGGCAAGTGTTGCCCTTCCTCACCACCCTCAGAGTAGAGAATTTCTTCCTAACATCTAACCTAAACCTACCCTCTTTCAGTTTGTAGCCATCCCCCCTTGTCCTGTGCTCTAGTGAACAGTCTCCAGCTTTCTTGGAGGCTCCCTTCAGGTACTGGAAAGCCACAATTAGGTTACCCCCAAGCCTTGTCTTCTGCAATATGAACAATGCTAATTTTCTCTGCCTTTCCTCATGGGAGAGGTACTCCATCCCACTAATCATGCTGGTGTCTCTCCTGTGGACTCACTCCAGCAGGTCCATGTCCTTCCTGTGCTGGCACCCCAGAGCTGGTGCAGCCCTGCAGGTGGGGTCTCAGCAGAGCAGAGCAGAGGGGCAGAATCCCCTCCCTGGCCCTGCTGCCCACGCTGCTCTGGATGCAGCTCAGGATACATTTTACTTTCTCTCATTTGGCCAAAAATTGGATTCAGTCATCTTGGAGGACTTTTCCAACCTTAATGATTCTATGATTGCATGATTCTTGCTTAATTCTTTAAGCGAGTAAATGCGTTTCTTATTCATGCATTACTTTGAACAGGTTATG